ATAACTGCAAAGTGCCTCTCTGCTTATCTCTTGTGATTTGCATTCCAAAAATCTTCTTTGCTGCACCCAAGTCCTTCATGTCAAATTCCTTTGACAATTGATGTTTCAACTTTATAATATCATTCATATCAGAACCTGCTATTAACATATCATCAACATAAAGTAATAGGATGATATAACTGGATTGATATCTCTTGAAGTAGCAACAGTGGTCAGCGTTGCACTTCTGGAAATCTTCCTTGTGCATGAAGTTATCAAACTTTTTGTACCATTGTCTTGGGGCTTGTTTTAGCCCGTATAAACTTTTCTTAAGTTTGCATACCATCTGCTCTTTCCCACTTTTTATAAAACCTTCTGGCTGGTGCATGTATATTTCTTCATCAAGATCTCCATGAAGAAATGCAGTCTTCACATCTAACTGCTCGAGATAAAGATCTTCAATTGCAACAATACTCAATACTGTTCTAATGGTATTGAGTTTCACAACAGGAGCGAATATCTCATTATAATCAACTCCTTCTTTCTGTTGAAAACCTTTGACAACTAGTCGAGCCTTATACCTCTTGGAATCATCGTGCTCCTTTTTTGCTCGATATATCCATTTGTTATGAAGGGCCTTCTTACCTATGGGTAACTCAGTTAGTTCCCATGTCTGGTTTGAAATCAGGGATTGCATTTCATCTTTCACTGCAAGCCCCCACTTGCTAGCATTTTGGTCTGGGATGCTTCATAATAATCTTCTGGTTCCCCATCATCAGTTAATAACAAATAATTCATATATTTTCTATTAGGCACATGTGGTCGAGTACTCCTTCTTAGGGTAGGAGTTGGACAAGAAGGTTGTTGTATGTCATTTGATTGCGATGTACTGCCCTGTACAGTCTGTTCTTCTTGTTGCGGAGTACTTATGATAGTGTACTCTTGCATCGTACTGTCTGGGACATAATCTTCATCAATGAATGTAGATTCTTTTTGATTTGTTTCATAACTCTCAATTTTATGCCTATCTTTGTACATGGCTCTCTCATTGAAAATTACATCTCTTGAACGAATAACCTTTTTGCTTTCATCATCCCAAATGCGGTATCCGAACTCATCTTCGCCATAACCGATAAAAGTGCAAACTTTTGATTTAGGATCAAGCTTATTTCTGCCTTGATCACTAATGTGCACATAAGCTACACAACCAAATACCTTTAAGTGCAACAATTTGATCTCTTTGCCGCTCCATACCTCCTCTGGTAATTTGTACTCCAATGGGGTTGATGGTCCTCGATTGATCAAGTAAGCTGTTGTATTGACTGCTTCTGCCCAGAATTGTTTTGGTAGACCTGACTGTATACGAATGCTTCTGGCTCTTTCTGTCAATGTTCGGTTCATCCGCTCAGCTATGCCATTATGCTGAGGCGTATCTGGCACAGTTCTTTCCATCTTAATACCATGCTCGTAGCAAAACTTCTTGAATTTGGTGTCCTCATATTCTCCGCCATTGTCGGACCTGAATCTTTTGATCTTCAGACCTGTTTCATTTTCAACCCTAGCTTTCCATATCCTGAAAACTTCAAACACTTCGGACTTGTATTTTAGAAAGTAAACCCATACTTTCCTAGAGTGATCATCAATAAAAGTCACAAAGTACTGTTTTCCACCTATAGACTGGGTGGTTGTTGGTCCCCACACATCAGAATGAACAAGCTCCAATTTTTCTTTCATTGGAGTTCTTCCATATGTCTGAAAGCTTACCCTCTTCTGCTTTCCAAGTATGCATTCTTCACACATGTCTAAATTCACAGATTTTAGACTAGGGAGTTTTCCAATTGAATGCATGATCTTCATTCCTTTCTCACTCATGTGACCAAGTCTTTGGTGCCATAACTTGGAATTTTCATTCTCTGTTGCAACTGCAATCGAATAACACGCTCCAGCTGTCAAATAGAGAGTACCATTCTTTTTACCATGAGCAACTATCATTGCTCCCTTTGAAATCTTCCAATTATCACCTTGAAAGATTATAGTGTAACCTTCACGAGCCAACTGCCCAACTAAGATCAAGTTCTTTCTTAGGTCGGGAACATGTTTGACATCCTTCAGCTCCCAAGCTGACCCATTTAACTTAATTTTGACATTACCTTGACCAACAATATCACAAGGTTGGTCATCACCAAGGTATACCTGTCCAAGGTTTCTATGGACATACTTCTCAAAAAAGTTTTTATTAGAAGTAGCATGGAACGATGCTCCAGAGTCTAATACCCAAGACTCTTCTTTGCTCTCCAATGAGTATATCAACGCATCATCACCTTCTCCGGTAGAAGTGAGATTTGCCTCTGCCTTCACTTCTTTTCCTTTTGGTGTTCCCTTGCACTGATTTTTATAGTGCCCAATCTTTCCACAATTCCAACACTCCACAGTCTTTGAGTTTTGGAAATTATTTGGATTCCTGGATTTTGACCTCCTATCTCTGGATTGTCCTCGATAGTTTGATCTTCCGCGTTCATTTCTTCTGATTAAATTTCTTCCTCTTGACTCTGTATGCAATACTGAAGTGGATGAAGATTCACCTGATTCTCTTCGTCGAATCTCCTCACTAAGAACCAGATCACGAACGTCATCAAACTTCAACTTGTTATTTCCCGATGAGCTACTCACAGCTGTGACTGTAGCATTCCAACTATCTGGCAGGGAAGATAAAAGTATTAACGCTAATACTTCATCATCAAATTTGATTTCAACAGAACTCAATTGGGTTGTGACAGAATTGAGTTCATTAAGGTGTTGAGCTACCGATCCACCTTCCGACATCCTCAAACTAAACAACCGCCTCATCAAATGAACTTTATTGGAGGCTGATGGCTTCTCATACATATTAGAGAGAGCTTTCATGAGACCTGCCGTTGTGGTTTCCTTTGCAATGTTAAACGCCACATTGCGTGATAACGTCAATCGAATAACTCCGAGTGCTTGTCTATCTAAAAGCTTCCATTCTGCTTCTTGCATGCCATCTGGCTTTTTCTCTTCCAGATGTTGATAGAGTTTTTTCTGGTATAAATAATCTTCAATCTGCATTTTCCAAAATTCGAAATCTTTACCATTGAATTTTTCAAGTTTAACTTCTCCTTTGTCTGCAGCCATTTCTCCCACTCAAATTTGACTTTTTCTTTTAGGATCGTTTTTATTTTTATCGTAATGTGGACTAATTGTCAACCAAGCTCTTGATACCAATTGTTAAGAAAATAATGCAAATTTTCTATTTAATCAAATTTGAGGGAGAAATAAATTACATAAACAAAATGTCTATTTATACCAAAGTGCAAAAAAACACTACCCCTCTTATCTCTTAGTTATTTTTCTTCTCTCAGATTTTCTCTTGAAATTATTTCATACAAATGAAGGAAATGCTCAATTTATAGTTTTCCTAAAACAACCTAAACCATTTAAAATTTAGCCTGCAGTATTTATTACCATTAGTTATTTTTCCCTATATTTGAAAACACCTTTAATTTTCAATGGTAATGCATGGTTATTTAATAACCATTTATTTATTTTTCTTTATGTTTCTTAATTATCTGCCAACATAGTATGTCAACAACTTATTGAAATTTGACCAAGTCAACATTATTATTCGGAAAAATGTAGGTTGAATCTTTCTTTCTTTGTTTGTTAAATAAAAAATGGTACGTGTTATCTTAAATTTGGCGGATTAGTTTTGACTTGTTAGACTGCAAATTGTTGATGCCAACACGTCGTTTAATAGCTTGATATGTACAAACGACCTACTTCAATAATATATTCAACACCTTTGAGAACGTGAAGTCCTTTCTCTTTACCCACTTGATAACGTGCCTTGATTTCTTGCTTTTTATTTGTCAATTTGATAATTTTATAATCAAGTTTCATGCTTGTTTAATTACCTTGAATTTCTAGAGGACTTAATTATGGTCAATGGAGACTAAAGAGTAATGCTTCTCCTAGTTTGAAATGATGAATGGGTTTTTAGAATATACTCCATAACCGGATAACATATTAAAATTTAGGGTAATGTTATATGCAGCTCTAAGGGCTATATATAAGCATTAAATACACTTTTGAAAATTGTATAAAATTAGAAATTCGTGATAAAAACGAGCGTAAATTAGTGTAATAGCTTGAATAACTCTTATTTTAACTCGTCGAAATTTAACTATATGAATTTTATCTTATAAAACATATATGGAGTCATGAACGGTTTATTTTTCAAAACATGGCATAAATAACTTGTTGATGGCATTAATGCCCCATAATGAAACATGAAACATGACACATAACCCAGTTTATTTATTTATTTATTTAGGGGGGGGGGATTCTACAGTTTTTTTTGTATAACAATTGTATTAAATAAAGGAAAATGTTATACATACTATTATATAGCCTTTAAGGCTACATATAAGCATTAAATTTATACTTGAAATTCGTAAAAACTTAAGAAATCATCAAAATATAAACACTAATAACACTGATTTACGCGTGTTTTTGTCATGAATTCCTAATTTTATACAATTTTCATGAGTATATTTAATGTTAATATATAACCCTTATGATAGAAAAAATTGAGTTCAAAGCTAGTCACATGGACATCAACATATTTCTTTCAGCAAAAAAAAAAAAAAAAAGGGTAAAATATAATAAAATAAAATAAACATAGATATCAACTAAATGGAATTCTCAAGTGAAATTTTTTCTATGGAGGCGGATGCACGATGCTCCGTGCATCCGTTCTCTTTAAAAACGCGGAATGAACATTCCGTTGTTTAGTAAAGAACATACATTTGTTTTGAAAAGAACATATAGCTTTTTGATAAAGAACATCACATATACTTGTATTGTAATGAACATATAGTTATTTTATAAAGAACATATACCTATTTTATAAAAAAAAAACATCCAACTTCATGTTCTTTATATATATATCTAAAGAACATCCGTAATATTAATTAAAAACATGATAATTAGAGGTGATCAACTTCGGTCCGACCCTACCCGGCCTAGCCCGATCCAACCCGAAAATAGGGTGGGTTTAGACGAGCCTAAAAATGCATTTTTAGTTAAAAAATCCAAACTCGGCCCGAAAAAAAGCCGAAAATCCAAATTAGAGCTGTATTGTAAAGAACATATAGTTGTTTTATAAAGAACCTATACCTATTTTGTAAAAAAAACATCCAACTTCACGTTCTTTATATATATATCTAAAGAACATCCGTAATATTAATTGAAAACATGATAATTAGAGGTGATCAACTTCGGCCCGACCAAACCCGACCCGACCCGATCCAACCCGAAAATAGGGCGGGTTTAGACAAGCCTAAAAATGCATTTTTAGTTAAAAAATCCAAACTCGGCCCGAAAAAAAGCCGAAAAACCCACTACATTTTTCGGGTTTTTTGGACACGAGATACTATGTTATAGCCCAGCCCGACCCGAATTTTTTATCACCTTTAATGATAATATAATGTAATGAACATTATTTTTATTCAACCACCATAATCTAAAGACAAAATTCAAAGAACATTTCAAATTAAACAATTAACATATGTCACAAATAAAAGTACATTATTCTGAGAATCAAAGAACATGAAGATAAAGAACATTATTTAATTGCACGTTATGTTATTTATAATTTTATAACATGTTCTTTGCACTTTAATGGAATGTTCTTTACATTTCTATACAATGTTCTTTACAATTCTATAATATGTTCTTTTCACTTAAACTAAATGTTCTTTATATTTCTATGCAATGTTCTTTCCGCTTTTTTTTGGAAGAGATGCACCATGTGGATCGTGCATCCGCCTACACAAATCATGCATTGCTTCTCAAGGCCCAATACTTAATGCCTTTTTGGTTTAACCAATCTAACAAGCAACATTACAAGAGATGCAATTAAAGTCGATCCAATAAAAATGCAAGGCCCAAATAGTGTACACTTATTATTTTTCTCTTCCATTTCATATCCATCATAACTTCTTTCTTCCTTGATACCTTGTTTTGTTTTACAACCTTCTTCTACCTTTTCCTCAACTATTTCCTCTGTTTTGTCACTCTCACCATTGATCCTACTACACACTTCTCCTTCGGTTTCTTGAATCGACGATGATACACCTTCATCATCAATTCTCCTTCGTGAATATGGGACGAGTTCTCTTATTTCATCATCCTCATCACTTTCATGCATACTTTCCTCTTGCAAAGTTTCATGATCACTAACTTGTTTATCATCGTTCTTGACCTCTTCAATCCCACCTCCAATCATTATGCCCTCATTTTGCTTAGGCATGTAGATTGTCAACGTCGATTCATCATCATTGTAATTGGCCTTAATTCGATCCAATAACACCTCAAGAGGAATTTTAAACACCTTGATAAAACTCTTTAAATTTGGTTCATTCTTGTGCATTACCCATCCTTTCATTACCATTTCTTGCACCGCCTTCTCACCACTTATCGAAATTAGTGTTCCATCTTCATTTATGTCGATCTTGACATCTTCCCTTTTAAATCCTAAAACAACCACCCAAAAAAATCATAAAAATCAGCAACCTTCCTAATTTAGAGAGGTAAAAAATGCATAAATACAAGATTATCATACATAGTTACATACAATGTGTTACCTCTAAGATGAGCCGTAAGAATAAACGTAGTTTCGGTCTCTCTAGATAGAAACACAGGACCAGCTCGATCTTTAGCAATTCGAAAGTCAGTAGAATGAGGGTCACCTTTAGTTGTGGTAATCTTGAGGTCTAATTCAAGCTCCATATTTCAAATATGCACTAGAAAAACAAACTATATGGAAAAAAATGAACTCAAAAATATGACATATGTACACCATATGTTGTGATACTTATATTACATTATGTTCAAAGTTATATTTATACAAATAAAATATGGGTATTAAAAAGATTTAATAAAATTTTGAAATAAAAGTGTGTGTGAAAGTAAAATGTGAAGTAGGCCGTAAGAATAGAGAATAAGCAAAGAATATATGCATTTCTTTAAGTTGGCTTTTGTTAAATTTTGGTTTAAGTTTGGTTGCCTTAGCTTGGCGGGAAGATAACGCTTTGATTGATGCCAAATTTGCTTTTATTCAATTTATGTATACAAATTACAACCTTTATTTCTGCTCGTTTTGAATGTGAGACTTCTAGATAGATATAGCATTAGCACACTGCACACTACCACATTTGAATGTTCAAGAAACTACGGAGTAGAATGACAAAATCATGAGTCTGTCGTACCACTAAAAATATTTATGTATCGGATTTGTGATAGTTACATGAATCAGGTATTAGTTGCATTTTAGGTTCTATTCTTTTATGTTACCAAGACCATTTTTAAAAGGATAACTTAAAGAGTTAAAGTATTAATACACCAATACATACATACAAATATTTACTCCGTAGTACAAAAGTGGGCCAAATACATGATATAACAATAAAGATTATTGCACGTGAGATTATGTGATAAGTAAGGTTTTGTCTACAACCAAAATAGGTTTGCTAAAACAGAATTTTTGTAAGAAGAAATAGACATCGCATACTATACAAGTAATTTACTAAAGTGGTAAAGCATATTGTGTCAACTGTCAAGTATGTAGTTACGTAGTTATTTATGGGCTTATGGCTGTATTTGGCAAACAACTTATTTGAGCAAAATTAGTTTATTGATTATAAAATAAGTCAATTTAAGGTGTTTAGTGGGAAACTATTTAAAGAGCTTATTCCGCTAAATAAGTTTCTTATTGAAAGGCTTAATTTAAAATCCTATCTAAACTACCTATACCACAATTAGGTTTTTGGTCATTTCACATACTCAAACAACTATAAGCTATCGGCTATTTACCAAATACAGTTATACAATTAGCTAATAAAATAAGTTAGTTAAATCAGTTAATACAATCAACCAATCAAAATAAGTTAATATAATCAGTTTCAACTATCAATTTTAAGTTATTCACCAAACACGGCTATAACTTTTTAATACTCTCCCAGTCTCATTTCTTACTTTTAAGCGGAGCACGTAAACTTTATACTACTAGGATGAGACACTAATAACCACAAAATCTAACTGAATGATTTATCACTTGAATATTACACTAATCATATTTAATGAATTTCATTGCCAATTTCAACACGGTTTAAAATCATGTCATGTAAATTTTACGAGTAGTACTCAGTTAAAAAATTCGAACTAGGGTAAACAATCCACACCAAACAATGGCCATGTTATGAGGGGACATAGATGGGAATTCGAGGCAGATACAAAAACAGAGGACACTCTTCCTAAATCATGCACATTAGATTGTCCTACACTACATTGGATACCATTTCCATCATCACTTATTTTCTTTGCTTTCTCTTCTCTTAGATTACAAGTTTAAATTACAACTCGTGACCACCAACAAAATTTTTCTACAAACCTTAACCCTTTACCCCGTCTAGAGCTATCAAGTTAAGTCTATGGTCGGTCACAAATTAAGTCAACAACTGGCTACAAAACAAGTCTAATTAATTCGAGTCATATCATATAATGGCTTATACAGGGTTCATGTGTCGATTTAAATTAAATACGATAAATTTTTTTTTAGGTCACTACAATAATTATCAGATTGCGGGCATAAGGGGTCATTTTTCTTGAAGGCCCTAAATCCACCTACCTTAAATTTTCGCCCGTGATTGCATCATTGTAATGCTCGTGCAAGTTGAAATTCTTTCAAAGTTTGGTTACAAAAATAATGAAGAGAATAAAGCCAAAACATTTACAAAGAAAAAGCATGATTATTAAAATGCAAGAATAGGCAATATGAATTGTAATTAAAAAAAGAAAAGACTACTAAAAGTGGTAATTATAATAATAACAATGATTCCAAAGTAATAAAGTCTAAAAGAGCATATTATCATTAACAACCACCCCTCTAAAGCTACTTTTCTCACACTCCTAATCTAACCCCACCCCATTCTAAACAACCTGGCTAATCCTACTAATTCTATATTTCATTTTACATTAATCAATAAAAACTCTCATTTTTATATTATTGTAACCATTACAATAATTACATAACATAGAGGTATTACTCCTTTGAAAAATCCCATCAACTTCACTCCCTGAAAAAAAAAATTAACCAAGTAAAAGGGTGTCAGTAATAATTAATTACAATTAACAGAGAACATAATAGTTTATAGTAAATCCCTTAAATTTGGAACAATTCAAACACACTCCCAAAAGGTTGCATTCCAATGCTATTTTATGACATAAATCCAAACAATGTATTGTATATGTATGACTAATTGATATTAGTTATTTTTAATTTAGACATTTGTTGGCTGTGGCCAGCTAGTCTTTGAAAGAGGGATACGAGTTGTATGACTCATGAGTCATGACGATCCCAACCTGCAAGAAAACCTTAATTAAGTCAGTCGGTTTAAAGTCCAAAGGTGATGAGAATCGATCACTTGAATGGATTCCTAGTAACTTGACCTAAAGTCGGAGGTGATGAGAATGGACTCCTAATCTCGTTGTTGGTTGAAGTGGTAGCTCAGCTAGCTCTACAAGCTCTCGCTTGAATTTTTCTCTCAAAACTTGCATATTTATTAAAGCTAAGAATCCAATAATCATTGTTCATCATTTTTTTTTTCTTTTTTTTACGAGATGTTCATCATGTTAAATATATTTAAATTTCCAAAATTGACCCAATTATTTAAAATTGTAGAGTAATCATACGAACCACGACCCAAAACCCAAAATTAACTGACACAAGCACATAATTAATTAATAAGGATGTACAATAATAATAAGCCAAAAGCCTAAATGAATCCAAAATCACAAGGAGTCTTTTTCGTAAAGACTTCAAATTGGAATTCACCCGAACCAAAATCAAATCCATATACGACTTAGGCCTTTTTCTACATGCCTTAAAAAAAAAAAAAAAAAAAAAAAAAAAAGAAAAAAAAAAAAAGGTATTCTCCGTTTCTAAATTATATTCTTACTTCTTTCTATTATGCGATGAATAAATGCTAAAAGTAGAATGTAATTTAGAGACAAAGGAAGTATGAAGTAATATTAATACTTGTAGCATATTCTATGTACTCGTATTTTTTAGTAGGTAAGATGAACGGTTCTAAATTCTACGGTAATTGAACCATACTTATTTTGTGTTCTTATGTCTAATTTTATTAATCTCAATTCAAAATATGTTGTCCTTTAACTGAAAAATCTCTTTATCTTCCAAAAATAGAAAACCCCAATTAAATTAAGCTAAAAAAGAAAAGACAAAAAATATACCTGAGAAGAAGAAGTTTGATTAGCAGAAGTTGGGAAAGGTCGAATAGTAGCAGAATCAACTTCACCAGTAGGCAAAGGAACCGCCGGATTGCTGTTAATAAAGGGTATACTTCCCATCGCCGCCGGAGACGCCGCCGGCACCGGCGAGATTCCGATGTCGTTGTAACTTGGTCCGGGACTAGCTCCTTCCTTCTCTCGTGGCTGAAATGGCCAAGGGTACGACGGAGAAGACGAAACTACGCCGCCTGGTGTCGCCGGCGGTGGAAGTTCCGGCGCCGGAGAAATTGGGGTAGTTTCCGGTGTTGTTGTTGTGATGTTAATGGCTAGTTTTTGACCTTGTTGACATGGGATTTTGGTGCCATTGTTGAAGGCGAAGTAGAAGTAGCCTGTTCTTGATGGGTGCCACTGGAACGAAAAATGCAGATTAAGTGTTTGATGAAATGCGTGAATGAAAAAGTAAGGAATTAGAGAATGGGGGTTTTGTGGGGTGTTTTACTTACTGTGTAGGTTGTGGAATTGTGGTTGGAGAGTGGTGTTGCTTGAGTGAAGTTGCAGGTGTTGAATGCATCTTTTGTTCTGAATATGTAGAGATTGTACTGATTCTTGTGCTTGAAAACTGCAGAGAAATAAAAGCATTTTGACATTAGTGTAGTATAATGTAGCTCAAAATATGAATGTCGACTAGCTTAGTTGCTAAAGTGGTAGTATCTAACATTCCTGAGATCAATTCCCGCTAACATCATTATCATTTTGCGATTAATTAAGAGAATGTAAAGTGGTGAAAATTGAGAATGCTTACTGATAGTATCGCCAATGTTGGCAGAGGGATGATTCCATTGAGTGACACCATCAACAACCACAGTTGCACAATTAGATGTTTGCAATTGCAAAGCAAGCAAGAAGATTGTGAAGAAGAAGAACAGGGTACAACAGAATCCATTGAAAACTTTCATGTTTTCTGTGTGTTTTGTTGCAGAGTTTTTTTCTGAGTTAAAAAAGAGGAATTTGAAGAGAGAATGAAGTAGTTACAACACTCACAAAGTCACAAGAAATGGGATATGTGTAGTCAATAGTGGCGCTCACTTTAAATGAGTGTAGGAGTAGTCTTGTGAAGAGAGAGAGAGAGAGAGAGAGAGAGAGAAAGAGAGTAGTGGTGGTGTTTGGTGTCAGAGTGTTTGCCTTTTCATGGCAACAGTTTTAAATGGATGACAGTCATCATACTTTGGTTTCTGTAATTTTCTTCTTCTCTTTTCATTAACACCAAAGTACGGATTATAATAGGACCATTAGTAGAAAATGGACTCGGGCTATGTTCTTTTGAGGTGCTGTGTTTTATTGCTAATATTTAGGGACTGTTCTCTTATGTTGAAATTCAGTTCAGTTCAGCTTCTAATTTTCTTCTCTTATAAAATATTCAATTCAGTTCAACTCAATTCAGTTCAGCTCAGTTCAGCTCAGTTCAGTTCAGCTGAGTTCAGTCAATGAGAACAAACCTTTATTCTACTTTATTGAAATTTGTTATGCTCAGAAGCTTTAAAAAAACAGAGCCAATCCCGTCTCACTAAAATTGCCAAACATTCTCTATTTTGATATATCTTTGAGTTTGCCTCATATTGTAGGAGTTATTATAATTTAGTTTTAACATACAAGGCTATGATCTTTTTACTTTTCTCTTATCAGTCTATTAAGTAAAACATTTAAAAGTAACAATTATCTTATGGGACAACAATTGAGACGATGGTAGTACATGCTTAGGGCCTGTTCTCATACGTTTATTTTTCAGTTCAGTTCGGCTTAGCTCAGTTTAGTTCAGTTCAACTCCTAATTTTCTTCTCTTATAATATTCATTTCAGTTCAGTTCAGTTCAGCTGATTTCAGTCTATTAGAACAGACCCTTAAATTAATTAATGTAGGAGTTGTTCACATTTAAATCAAAGGTTTTTATAGACTATTCATAATAAGCTTTTTTCTAATAGAGTTTTATTGTGCTCGGAATAAATTGAGATTAGTTAGAATCTATTAGACATTATTAAATATTGATTTACCATAAAGTATGTACAAAAATTTAAATGCACTATCATAGTACTCGTAGTAAATTGCTAGTGCAATTATTTTCAAGCCAAAAGTATAAATGATTATGTATTAAGAAAATAAGAAGAGAAAAAAAAAAATTATATTTTGAGAAGAAATGAGTGGTTGTGATTAATGGTATGATAAGATGATTATCATTCAAAAATGATTACAATCGTGATTATATTTTTCTTTTGGATAACTTTCATTAATGTAGTGCAAAATATATTATGATTTTTTTATTGGGAGTCGAGATTTTAGACGAGTCTTTTTATTGCAGTACCATTTTGATTTTTCACTGCTCTACTTTTTCTTTTCTGCTTATCTTTTCCTTTTTTTAACCCATGTTTGACTTTATAAAAATGCTCTAATCCTCGAGTTTAAAATCTTAAGGGATTTTAATTATTTGTTTAATCAGAGATTAATTTTTAATGAACTGAAGATTTTTTGTCTGACATAGAATATACCCGTGAAAAAAGTAATGACATATTCTAGAGGCAATTAAAAAAAAAATATATATATATTCTAGAGGCAATAATGTATGTAGTACTCCGTATAAGAAAAGATAAACATAATTTATATCCAAATCAATCAAGCCGAAAATGTGTTATTGTTACTAGATTTTTACATGGTTTTCGTACGTTGTAGATATTTGGTGTATTGATGTTTATTTGAAAGTTTTACCTACCATGTTGGGCAAAAGAGTCTAAAAAAATTTATGGTGTTTGGATTTTGTTACTCATATTCATTATATTTCTAAGAGAGTTAACAAACGGAAAATTTGGTAATATCGTCTTTACATGTCTAGGGTTTTTTTGGGTTTGATTGGCAAAGCACAACTCTCTAGTCATGAATAGTGTCTAACTGTGCGATTTGTGCCATAACCTTCACATAAATACCGTAGGTACAAATGTTGATTGTATAATTCGTGCCTCAATAGAATATAGATCAATTGCTGTTGTGGTTTATTATGCTAAAAATGTTGTGTTATGCTTCTTTGGGGGAAAAAAAAATAAGGTCCACACACAACCAGTACAACCGCATACACATTAACGTGTTGTATTTTTTTTTTCGTGTTGAAATATTCCATATGTAGTGTCATTTGAGTCTAGGTCAAAGCACATAGGAGAGAGCAATAACTTGTGAGAAAATGGATTGAATCTTATAATTGAGGGTAAAAATTAAGCGTAACTAACAAAGAAGAATAGTCGGAAGTTGAAACCGAAATCAACATAAAAAAATCAAATATAGTATCAGTAAAAAGTTACGATCAAGGTAAGTCATGCGATAGAACTTGAATGTAATTACTCTAAACTTTGAGCTAATGTACAATAATTCTACATGACTCCATTCATAATTTCTAACCTTAGAGTAACAGAAGATGCTTATTATTAGCAAATGATAGGAATTGTTATTGTTGACTCGAGGAAAGACCTACATGCTATTTTCCAACTAGATTTCACTTATCCTTAGTCTATTTTATTAATTTTCTACCACTTATAGCCAAGTAAACTAAAGCCTAAGTTAGCTATTTAGCATGGAAAGACGTGAATCAAAAAGTGTAGATGACAAATAAAAAGATACACCAAATAACATCCTAAGCAAAAGGCATATCGCATGAAAAACAAGCATTGTAAAAACAAGAATTCCAAGTTAAATTTTCATGAAAAATTAGTCCAAACGCATGTGTGGCCGTAGAGATGTCCATTTTGGATGTTTGAATTGGGTTTTGTGAACTTGGATAGGTCTTGAGTCATGCTAAATTATTGTATTCATGCAAGTCGAAATTTAAATTGGATATTTTTCGTATCGGTTTAGGATTGAGTTAGTTGGTCAGGTTTTGACACCTATAGGTATGGGGGGATAATATCTTGTAGGTAGTAGCCCAATAATAATAGGGTCAATGTCAAAGTTAAAGAGACTGTAATCGACAATATCTTTAATTTAAAGAGTCGTGATGGGTAGGGTCAATGTAGGGTTAAAATGTTCACCCAATTTAATTAATAAAGATAACCGATGATTTTTTAAAAATTCCATAAATAGTTTTCATATCCATATATATACTTAATAATTATGGCTTTGTCCTATATCCTTCTTAATTAATACTTTATTTGCCTTTCCATTATAGACCCGCAATCACATTGACTCGACTTGCACAGGGAATAGAAAAAAGAGCTTTGAAGACCCTGGTTTGCGGCTCTGTTTGGACCGCCTTATACCCAGCCTGAAGTCAAACCTCAACGAATTTATGGTATTGTAAGAATTTTACCAAGTGATCCAAGCCTTGGTTGATGTATGTATCAACCCTAAAACTAGTCATACTTATATCAGTATCTATTTAATCGTATATTATACGTTGTCTGATCATTATAAACTATCTTGCCAAATGGTTTCCCTTGGCAATGATCCCCTTGCACAAGGCATCATTTGAGCAATATCTCTTTTAAGTTTGAGTAATCCTATACTATGTGATTGGAAACTTTAGATTTATTTTAATCACCAATACATTGGGAATTAATAAGACTTTAATTACAAAATTATGCTCAATATTCTAATCACAAGCGACAAAGAACTTTAAAGATGTTTAATTTTTAGAAGCAAGGAAGAGCAGAAGATAAAATCAGGCCATTAACGTCCAAAAATGAAGAGCACACTTGTTGGTATGCTTTTAGATATTGTAGGATTCCATGGTATTTCATGTTGTATGTTATGTGCACAAAAGCTTATGGGTAGTACGAGAAACAAAGGCGACAAGACAAACGAATAACACCAATTTCCTATAAATTAAGCCATACATAAATAAATTGAAACCAGTTTCTTATAAGATCAAATTTATATACTACCTCTGTTTCATATTACTTGCAACAATTAGCCATTTTTCCTCTCTAATTTATGTCAAATTGTTATAAATAATATAAAACGAGGATAGTACGAAGTTTAATAATTCTTGTATAAGATAGATTTTCGTCAATTTTATTGCAAAACGGTCCGAGAGTAAATTTTGGGTTGTAAAATTTATACGAGTATACAAAGTTCAATAAGGCCCTGTTCTTTTGAGCTTCAGGGCAGAGCAGAGCCGAGCCGAGCTGAGCTGAGCTAAGCCGAGCTGAGCTGAGCTAAGCCGAGCAAAGCAGATTATTATTATTATTATTATTATTATTATTATTATTATTATTATTATTATTATTATTATTATTATTATTATTAACTACTACTACTACTAGTATTATCGCATTATTACTATAATTATGAAATATTAATATTATTATAATAATTATTAAATATTATTAAATTATTAAAAATTAAAAATTATTATTTTTATTATTATTATTAAAAATATATAATTAGTATTATATTTAAATATTAATTATTATCTTTAAATATTAATTTTTATTATATAAAATCAATTATTATTATTATTATTATTATTAAAAATATATAATTAGTATTATATTTAAATATTAATTATTATCTTTAAATATTAATTTTTATTATAAAAAATCTATTATTATTATTATTATTATTATTATTATTATTTTATTACTACTACTACTACTACTTATTATTATTTATCATTATTATTATTAATAAATATTAATTATTATTATTATAATTATTAAATATTAATTATTATTCTTAATATTATAATTATTAAATATTAATTATTATTTCTATTATTATTATTATTTAATAGTAATTATTATTTTAATTTTTAATTATTTATTATTTATTATTATTATTAAGTATTATTTATTTATTATTAAATTTTAATTATTATTATTATTAAATATTAATTATTATTATTATAATAATTCAATATTAAGTATTATTTTTAAGCAGGGCAGGGCAGAGTAGATCAGATTTCAGCAGAGCAGAGCCGAGCAAATCTAATCAACGGGGCCTAAGTCTTGTAAGTCTTAATGTGTATCTTTTAATGTGGTAAAAGAATAATATGATTAATCTATTTTATTATGAGATTTTTTCAAGAATAAAATTTATGTTAAAAATTGGTAACCTATATGGAGCAGCCAAGCAGTATATAAGGTGTAATTTCAAAAACTTTCAAGATAATCTTAAGGTTCTTAACCCGTTTTATAATAAGTTAATGAAAATAATGGAGGTTAGAAGGGTTGAGAAAGGTTTATTTAGAGCAAAAAAAGAGAAGCTTGGCTAATCTAAACCTCTAATAGGAGTGTTTACAAATTATTAAAATA